TGAGTTTAAGCCAGTCGTGTGTTGGTGGTTCACACCTTTAATCGAAGTGCTTGGGAACCAGAGGCAGGCAGTTCTCTGAGTTCAAGGCCAACCTGGTCTACAAAGCTAAACCTAGAGACCCTGTCTCAAAAAATAAAAAAAATGAGTCTGAGCCAACACAGTTGTAGTGGCTCACATTTGTAATCCCAACACTTGGGAGGCTGAGACAGAAGAATTGCCATGAGTGTGAGGCCTGAGACACATAGTGAGCTCCAGGCTAATATAGTTCAAGAGACCCTATCTTAGGAAAAGTAAATGCTTTTAGTGGGATGGGGGGTGGTTAAGGCCAGAATTCTGGTCATTAGTCGACCATTTAGTCTACTAGTATGACCTGCCGTGAATACACCAGCTCTTTGTACACCAACCTTGGGGTTGCCACTTGTGAGCCAGGTATGAAAATGGGACATACAAGATACTTTTTGCTAGCCAGGCATTGGTGGAGGGAGGCAAGTGGATTTCTGTGAGTTCGAGGCCAGCCTGGTCTACAGAACAGGTTCCAAAGCCACAGAGAAACCCTGTCTCGAGAAAAAAAAAAAAAAGATACTTTGCTTACATACCTGACCTCTGGGAGTCAAGAGGACTCTTAACTATTAAAATTAAGACAAGGAAATTTTTTAAAAGAAAAATACATATGCAATGGCAACATCTGTAAAATAGCCTTTTCAGCTCCAGTGTCATAATTTATTCAAGAAAGTATCACCCATGGATGACAAGCCAGTGAGACAAAGTTGGTGGGAAACAGGACAGTACATCTAGAGGTATCACTTTGGCTTCATAGGTTACTTGTGAATCTCACAGGGGGGAAGGGGGACTCCTCAGAACAGAGAGAACCCATGTCCCCACCTTAGCCTAGCAATACAAGCTGGTCCTTCTGTTGCTGGGATACACTGACTATATCTGTAAATCCCAGGATGACTCAGCAAGGAAGACTGGGCACCTCTGAGCTTTCCTGAACACTGTTCAAAATGTGTCTAACCACCAGGAAACAATCCAGCCAACCAAGAATGGGGAACATTTCAAAACATAGCTGGACTCTGTGTTCTCAAAACACTAAGAAATAAACCTGGAAAGATTTTAGACTCTTTGTGTGAACCTAGTTTGGCTCTGGGATCCAAAATGACGGCGAAGAGTAAATGTGTTTTCAGAACCCCTGGAGCTAGTTAAATATGGACTGAACGTTAGAATGCTATTGCATACAGGCTTGTGATCTCACTACTTGAGAGACAAAGGGAAGAGAACCAGCGCTCAGGGACAGCCTCAATGACATAGTGAATTTGAGGGTATCCTGGGCTACATGAGCCCTTATCTCAAAAACAAAAGATAAGCTATTGCATGAGTGGTGATGTATTAGTGTTATTAATATCTTACCATTTGTAGGAAAATATCCTCAAGAGGAGACGTTGGGGTGCTGGGGATAGTGGCGTGTCCTGTGTATAACCTGCAAAGCCTGCATTTTATATACAACACACAGAAGCAGAATCAGTATGGACCAACTGTCTGCAGCTGGGGATGTGGGTGAAGGGTTGTGTGTGTTCCTCAGTCTCTCCTCTGTGGATTAGAAGGTTTTGAAAATCAAAAGTGTACCAAGGAAGTTGGGGAGAGCCTAGCTTTTGTCTGACTCCCACAGAGTGGGCTGGATGGTGTGTCCCAGCATCTCTCTGGGAGCAGCCCTGAAGACAAGGCAACTGTCCTCTGTGCCTCTTTCCCATAAGGAGGAAGCCGCTAAGTGTAATGGTGCTTGGTGGTGGCAGCCCTGGGGACAAAGGGCTAGACCACTTAAGAGGGAGGAGGGGAGGAAATGCCTGTTGGGCTACGAAACTCAAAGCCATTCCTGACTGCTAAGTGTGTGTGTGCTGGGAAACAATGTGTATGCTGAAGTCTTTGTGGCCAACAAAAATGAGCAGGGACTCTGAAGCAACTTCTGGGGATAAAAACCAAAGCTCTCCTCTTTTTGGGTTTTTGTTTTGTTTTGTTTTGTTTTTAGCCCTGGGGATGCTTGGGGTTCCTTTGAGGACCCAGTATGGTGAGGCTCAGTACAGCATTGGTTGTGCTGGGCGCTGGTGAAGCACTTTCCATTTCACAGATCATTCTCTTTCCATAGGGAGTATATTCCTAGTCACAAACAAAAGAACAGCCTGGAGGGTTTCATACACCCGCTAGCACCCGAGCAAACTCATTGAGGATGCAGGCCCAGCCCTGCCTGGCTGTAACCTGCAGTGTGGAAGGTCTCCAAGAGGCCTCCCCCGCTTGTATGGGGAGTAGAGGGAGTCAGGGAAGTGAGATCCCTTTTCCATAAGCCATGACCCCTCCTTTGGGGGTTAATCCTCCCAGGCCTGGCAGCAAGGTTCTGAAAGGTTTGAAAAGCAGGGAGGGGCAGAGGAAACTAATCTAATTGAACACATCAGCTGGTGCCTGCAGATAGATGGCTGGCTGCCAGCAGTGCTGCTCCAGGGTCTCAGGGTCACCCTCAGCACAGCCTGGGCTAGGTACCCTGCCATTTTATGTTTTCCCCTGCCCCCCAAAAGAAACCTCATGGGGATGAGGATGTGGCTCAGTGGTTGAGCACTTCCCTTGCTTGTAGGAGGACCAGAATTCAATCACTAGCACCAAATTAGGTGGCGGTTGGGGGGGGGTCATATCTATTAGTATATGTGGCCAAGATTATCTCAGTTGTGTATAAGGTTCAGGGAAAGGTAGGTAATTTGGGAGAAGTGCCTTTTACATGATTATTTAAATATATAATCTTGCCTGTTGCACTCTTGTAGTTACTGAATAGACTTGTCTCTAAAAGGGGTCAGGGGCTAGGAAGATGGTTCATTGGTTAAAGAGCACGTGATGTTCTTGCAGAGGACTGGTTCCTAGAACCTATAACCACCTTTAACTGCATCTCCAGGGGATTGATATACCCTTTGGATCCTGAGAGCACCTGCAGTCATGTTCATGTACCTACACTCAGACAGAGACGGACAGACAGACAATAAAAATTACTAAAAAGCGGAGTATGATTATGCACACCTTTAATCCCAGCACTTGCTAGGCAGAGGCAGGATCTCTGTAAGTTCAAGGCCAGCCACAACTACAAAATAAGACCCTGTCTCAAAACAAAGCAAATAAAAATATTCTTGAAAAGAAAAAATTAAAACTTAAAAAGCTGAATAATATATGGACATTGGAGAAAAAACAGGGAATAATAAAAACTCCCCAAAGAAAGTACAAACAGTATTATTAAATTCCAGTGGCCAGGAAAAAAACACCCATTCCTTTGTCCACCTACAGAAGGTCTTAGAATCGGTTGGTGGTGATTCATGTTAACACGACCTTTCAACTAAGCTTTGAAGGACCCAGGATGTGTGAGAGCATTAAAGAGCACTCCACAGCGGAGGGTCATCGGTCCATGGGACCACATCCTGCTGATGAGGAAGAAGGTCTAGATATGAAGCTGTAGATACCAGGGTGGCCCACATTGCGGCTGTGGAAGAAGCTCCTCCCCCTTGGACAGTTTGCCCTGTGCTTACCGGCCCCAGCTCTCCGTAGGGGTACACACTCTGCAGGCATCACCGTTGCAGCCACACGCTGCACTCTGAAAGGAGACTACACTTGACCAGAGTGGTCTCTGCTTCCTCCCTGTGGTATATCCCACTTACCCTCTCTGCTCCTGAATTCAGGTCCACCCTTCTTTCCCCTCTTGAAGAGCTGTTGCTAGCTCCTGGGATGCCCGGAGTTTCATTTCACTTTGCAGTGGCATCCTTGCATTTAGGATGGGTGTGTCTGCAGAGCAGCCTTGGGTGGGTGCTTCTTACCTCTCCAGGGACATGGAGAAGCAAGTGACTAAGTGGGTCAGAGAGTCCATTGCCATGGCCATGAGCAGGTACACAAAGGTATTTGTGCCCTTCCCAACACATTTGCTCAGCAGCTGCTCTGCACCCTATGTGGCCATTCGGAGACCATGGGTGACCAGGACAAGGCTGACCCTCAAAGGGCTCGATTGGGGAAGGCCTAACCCAAGGCAGTAACCTAGAAGGAAGGTGAAGGACACCAACCTTGGCTGAGTGAAGAAGGGATGAAGATGGTATTCCAGGTTACAGAGCTGTGCAGACAAGGCCAGGAAACATAGTGCTTTCAAAGAATTGCCAGTGATGGGGTCCACTGCCGGGTGTGGAGTGGTATCCCAGAAAGGAGTGCTGAGTCTGGAGGTTTCCAGCCTGCAGAGTCTCACAAAGTGGGCCTATCATGATTCCCAGTAGCTTCCAGTCTCCACCCTCAGTGCAGGAGAAATCCGTCTGTCTCTGACTATTGAGTTATAACCCAAGACCTAAAACCTGCATTTTTAACCATTTCTCAGAACCCCTTGGTATATGATCAGACTCCAGATGTCCTCAGAAACACTTCCTGATGATTTCTTTGGGGCTTTGTCCTTTCCCTCTCTCCTTCCCCAACCTGTGTCCAAGGCAGCCCAAACTAAAACCACTATGGTTAGAATATGAGGCCTGTAGAGGACGGTGGAGAGCTGTGGGCAGGCTCGTCTGCACCTTGAAGGATGGGGTTAGACTTGAGGCCATTACGACTCTACCTGATTTGGTGAGGGTTGGACAGGAAATGCAGGAACCTCGCCCCTAGAGCGTAAAGGCTGCTCATGACTACTCTCCAGTGCCTTCAATGTCCTAGGCACCTGTCTGAGCATTGGTGTGTATTTTCTCATGGACTCAAACAAAAGCCTTACTAAGCCGTCACTTCCCCTTGCAGTTGGGGTCACAGAGAGATTGAGACACCTCATCATAATCATATGGCAGGAAGTGATGGCATGGAGATTCTCGGTCCAAATGTGTCCTTTTGCTCCTAGGCAGTCCCTCCTACCTGTCGCTTTCTGTCACTTTTGTCAGCACCATCCAGATGTATCATGGGGAGAATTACTGTCCTGGGTTCCGTTTCCTTGAGTAAATTCTGCTTCTGCCTCTCCGCAGGTAAGTTTGAGGACAGGGAAGACCGTGTGCCCAAACTGGAGCAGATAAACAGTACAAGGATCCTGAGCAGCCAAAACTTTTCCCTCACCAAGAAGGAGCTTCTGACCACAGAACTCCTGCTCCTGGAGGCTTTCAGCTGGGATCTCTGCCTGCCCACACCTGCCCACTTTCTGGACTACTACCTCTTGGCCTCCATCAGCCAGAAGGACCACCACTGCCACACCTGGCCCACCACCTGTCTCCGAAAGACCAAAGAGTGCCTCAAGGAGTATGCCCACTACTTCCTGGAAGTTACCCTGCAGGGTGAGGGCACAGACACAGTGGCATAAGGGAGGGTACAGGGGCAGGGGTCAAGTGGCTCAAGACGGGTTGTCACCCGGAGAGGGCCTTCCTTCCTGCCTAGAGCCCCCCACCTGTATCACTCCCACTTTGCAAAGAAATGCAAGGATATCCCCAGTGTCAGAGAATAACACATAAACAGAATAGCAGCCTCACACAAAAGCCACTAGTACCTAGAGACTAGCAACTCACCTGGGGAGTTTTCTCATGGGTACCCAGAACCTTCCAGGTGATTTAAATCACACAAACTCACAAGTAGCTCATTCCCAAAGAGCTGTCATCACACAGATTAAATAGGGTGGGGGGGGAGGAGGTGACAATGTTCACATATGCGTTAGCCATAAATTGTAAGTTGGCTGATTTGGGGACTGGGAAGATAGCTCAGTTGATAATGTGCTTACTGTGAAAGCATGGGGAGTTCGGAGGTGAAGATACAGAACCACAGAACCTACATATGAAATCAGGCACATCACACACACACACACACACACACACACACACACACACACACACCCGTAATCCCACAGCTGGCAAGGCAAAGACAGGAGAATCTCAGGTGCTTGCTGACCAGCCAGCTTTAGGTCCTAGTGTTAAACCCTCTCTCAAAGAACAAGGTAGGTCGCTCCCAAGGAACAGCACCTGAGGTTGATATCCGGCATCCACATGCACACTTGCAAATACGTGAACCTGGGGGCTAGAAAGATGGCTCAGAGGTTAAAAACACTGGCTGCTCTTTCAGAGGTTAAAAACACTGGCTGTTCTTTCAGAGGTTAAAAACACTGGCTGCTCTTTCAGAGGTCCTGAGTTCTATTTCCAGCAACCACATGATGACTCACAACCATCTACAATGAAATCTGGTGCCCTCTTCTGGCATTTGGCATACATGCCAGCAGCACATTGTATGCATAATAAATCTTTTAAAAAAATATGTGCATGCGCACATGCACACACACAAACCACACAAGTTATCCTGTTTGGAGAAAAAGAGTAATCTTTCACACACACACACTCTCATACACACAACACACACATACATATGTGAGTGTGTCAGTATGCATAAGTGTGTGTAAACACACACAGAAGCCTAAAAACAGCAATAGGCCCATTGCTCTCCATCTACTCTTTTGAAGCAGGGTCTCCCCTTGAACCTAGGACTTGTTCTCAGTTGGGCTGGAAGCCAGCAAACCATAGCGATCTTCCTGTCTCTGCCCTCATTGGAGTTGAGGCTGCAGGCAACGGCAGGAGGGCAAACTTGTTATGTGGGTTTTGGGATCCTACCCCATGAATGTAGAGTAAGCACTCTTTAAAGCTGAGTCGTTACTGCAGCCTCCAAATCAAATTCTTAAGTCTAGCTGTCAGGTGAGATGCTAGTCAGAAATACTATTGTTACACCTGCTCGGTGACACACCAATAAGATGAAACAGCCCAGAGCAGGGATATCAGTGATTGTGTGTTATCCAGCATTGGTTGAGCACTTACAGCATTGGTTGTTCCTTCCTGTAGACCTTTGTTTACATTAACCTGCACCTGTGCAGCTTTCTGGGAACTGTAGACAACATTTAAAAAAAAAAAAAATGTCCCTCTAGACTGATGCCAGAAGCCTCAGGTGGAATGCCAAACCCCTTAAGACCCAACAGTGGCACCTGATTTCTCCGAGTTTCTTCCCCCATTTATAAAAAGCCAGCATTGCATAGCCCTTGAACTGACTCATTTGTCTGCTGTTGGGCAGACCAAGCAGGAGACTCCATGGCGACACATTCCAGTGCTTACACCCTCTGCAATTCTCTTGCAGATCATATCTTTTACAAATTCCAGCCTTCTGTGGTTGCCGCAGCCTGTGTTGGGGCCTCCAGGATCTGCCTTCAGCTCTCTCCCTACTGGACCAGAGACTTGCAGAGGGTCTCGAGCTACTCCCTGGAGCATCTCAGCACATGTATCGAGATCCTGCTGGTGTAAGTTCTCTCCCAGTTGGCTGTTTCTGAAATACTGACCTTCTGGTTACCCTTTGGGGCCCCACTCCAGTGAGGGTAGGGGGGTTCCTGAGTCTGGGACAGATGGTGTTCCCCCAGATAAGGTGTTGCATGTAGAAGGAGCCGAGTGCCCCATGACAGAAGTGGTCTTTTGGAAAGTAAGGTACTGTGTTTTGTGACTGTAATCCTAACACTTGGGAAGCTGAAGCAGGACGATTGAAAGCTGGAGGCCAACTTAGGATAAATAGTGAGACTTCTGTCTCAAAAAACCAAGAGGTGGAGCGTGGAGCGCTGCCTATTTGTCTTTGTCTTTTTAAGATTGGGGAGCGAGGGAAAAGAGGAGCGGGACTGGGGACACCTGCTCCTGTGTGTCTGGACTCATCCTGCCATTTTGTTTTGTTATTGAGACAGGGTGTCATGTAGCCAAGGCTAACCTCGATCTCGTTATGTCGCTAGTGGGGTATCCTTGAGCTTTCAATCTTCCTGCCCCTTGCTCCTGAGTGCTGGTATTACAGGTGTGTGTGCCACCACACCCAGTTTATTTAGTGCTAGGGGCCAAATGGCTGCGTGCACGCTAGGCAAGTCAACTGAACTCCATCCTGTTTGGGTTATTGATCTAATTCTCAGGGTGACTTTGTGAATGGTCGTGAGTTCATTCTCTCATGAGTTCCTATTCTCGGGCAAAGCTGCAAAGCTGACCACTTAGTCAACCAAGTCCAGAGAGGCTTCAACTGAGAGGTCACAGCCTCCTTTCAAGGGTCATCTTAGAGCTAACACTGTGAACTAGAGACTGGCAGCCAAAGAGGTCTGTAATGGCTGCCAGGAGGAGGGAAGACAGGACAGAACAGCCCTGAAGCGGTTACCTCCAATCCACTCCCTCTTCCACCAGCAGATAGTAATGACCTCTGTATGCTGGCCTGGTCGATCAGGAATCTGGGTGGCAGAAGCAGAAGTCCTTTAGCCACTGAAGAGTCACCTCTCAGCTTCCCAATGTGGGCGGCTTTGCTGTACTGTCTGAACTCTGCTGTGAAACATTTGCCCTGCTCCCTAGGTGGTGTCTTGAATCATATGCTTTTAGAAGTCCCCAAGTCAAACTTGGTGGTGGTGGTGGTGGTGGTGGTGGTGGTGGTGGTGGTGGTGGTGGTGGTGGTGGTGGTGGTGGTGCAGGTCTTTAATGCCAGCACGGAGAGGCAGAGGCAGGCTGATCTCTATGAGTTTCAGGCCAGTCTGGTCTACAGAGTCAGTTCCAAGACAGCCATGGCTACACAGAGAAACTCTCCCTCAAAAAGAGTTAATTAATAAAACCCCCAAGTCAGAACACAGCCTGTTTTGACAACTGATGGATACTCCAGTATCAACCACCAGGCCAGCTCTGTTTGTCATTGTCAGGTGTGACCCTGCGAAATCCTTTCTCAGATACATTGTAGACTCCATAGGCTCCTTTCTTCCAGATGCCGCTAGTGTTTTTACTTTTCAAAACCTTTTGTTTGTTTGTTTGAGATGGGGGAAAATAACAAAAAAAAAATACTCTCTGTGTCCCCTGGTTTCAAATGTTTGCTTGGTGTCTACAAGCTAAGGATGCATCCAGCTGGGGACAGAGCTGGTACAGAAGAACCTAGACAGTCATGCTAGTACTCTGCCAAGGAATGCAGGAGTGAACAGAGGCAGATGCCACCCAAATTACCCTCTGAGGTTTTAACAGCCGGGGTGTGTTGGTACAGGGGCTTTGGGACAAGTCTGGCTGCATAAGATCAGAGAGGTTGTGTGACAGAAGCAGCTCCAAGCTGAGACCTGGAGCCAGAGTCCAGATGGTGAGCAAGCGAGGCTGTGTCGTAGCTTGCCATCCCAGACTGGCATAGCATGGTGCACCTCTCTCCCAGTCCCACGCACCAAGGAAGGTAAGCAGGTGTCTGGTGAGCTTTGCTCTCCAAGGCTCACACGTGTCTTTTCCTTTCAGAGCATACGATAATGTCCTCAAGGATGCCGTTGCAGTCAAGAGCCAGACATTGGCCATGGTGCCCGGCACATCACCAGCTCCCACCCAAGTGCTGTTCCAACCACCTACCTACCCTACACTTAGCCAACCGCCACCAACACTAGCCCAGTTCCAGAGTCCAGCGCAAGACCTGTGCTTGGCTTACCGAGACTCACTGCAGGCTCACCGCTCAGGAACCCTGCTCTCAGGAGACACTGGCCCATCCCTCCACACCCCATACCCAGCCCTCCAGCCCTTGGATATGTGTCCTGTGCCTGTCCCTGCATCCCTTAGCATGCAAATGGCCATTGCAGCTGAACCCAGGCACTGTCTTACCGCCACCTATGGAAGCAGCTATTTCAGTGGGAGCCACATGTTCCCCACAGGTTGTTTTGACAGCTAGGCCACATTTGGACCACGTGGAGAATCCTGGAAGACCCAGACTGAAGAAGTGGACACACCTAAGAGGGAGAGCTCAGCCAGGTGAGGCAAAGAACATGGTTTACCCTTCAATAGTGAGGTCTGTGTACTTTACAACAAACAAACAAACAACCCAGAGCCAAACATCCAGGGACATACCTCACCCAATAGCATCTCTCTGGGAAACCTCTTCCATGTGTGCATGGAGGACAAAGACATGGTGCTGTGGCCATTCCCTTGAGCTGGAGAATCCAATGGAGCACATCAGACTTGGTAAGAAGCTTGGACATTGAGGACTGCATAAAGATCAGTAACACATCCGGGCTTTTCAAAGACTACTGTTCACACTTATGCCACTGAAAAAGAAGGGGTAGCCGGGCAGTGGTGGCACACACCTTTAATCCCAGCACTCAGGAGGCAGAGGCAGGCGGATCTCTGTGGGTTCAAGGTCAGCCTAGTCTACAGAGCAAGTTCCAGAACAGCCAGGAACTGTCTGGAGAAGAGAAAGAAAGAGAGGAAGAAAGAAAGAAAGAAAGAAAGAAAGAAAGAAAGAAAGAAAGAAAGAAAGAAAGAAAGAATCGACACGTCTGTGTGCCTAGAAGATGCATCTTGTGTGTGTGTTTTTTGGTTTTTTTGTTTTGTTTTGTTTTTTTGCTTAGCTCCACACCAAGGGCCCCATTGCCCATGTTTATGCCTGAGCACTGGCCCCATGAGGCACAGCGGCTATCTTGCCCTTTGTTTTTGAACCCAAAACCTTTTTTGCCCTTCTAGATATTTCACATGCTGCTGTTTCCCGGAACAATCTAGCTTTCTATCCTGCAGAAACATCTTGTTTACATACTTCATCAGGGATTTTGTGATACTTGAAAATTTCGTAGGAGAAAGAAGTTTGAATTGCCGCACTGTCTGTCCCACATTGAGGCTGTATCTTTTATTAACCCATCCTGTAAGCAATTGATGGATAACAACCATGGGAGAACGCCTCCCCAGATCTCAGCTCTGAAGAGTCCACCCTTGGGATGCTAGGTTTCACCTGTTGAACTTGGATCACTGCCCCCTGGTGGGGGAATGTTGCTGAAAGGACGACAAAGGTTTAAACCGGTCCTCGTTTCCCTCTGTGCTTGTAGTGCTAATGTTAAACCGACCCCGGCTTTGAGTTTGGCCAATGGTAAAGAGTAACGATGCTGTGGATATCTGAGAAGTGGGGGATTGAACATGCTGTATGAACCAGCATTGACAGGCCAGGGATTGCTGGAGCAAAAGCCAGTGTCTGGGGATCCGCAGTAGGAGGGCTCAGGAAGACTGTCACCATGTGCAATATGTTATGTCTCTGACTCATAGCCTGTGCTTAGGATATTCTTGTGGTTGAGTTTTGGGTTTTTTTGTTTTTGTTTTTGTTTTGGTCAGGGGACATGCTGTTCACCCATCAGAACTGGGAGGGAGGTGCAAAAGGCCACAGAAACAAATTTTAGTTTTGTTTTTGAGAAGATTGCATCTTGGTTTTCTGTTGTTTTTCTCTTTTTGGGGGGAGGGTACTTTTATTTAGAGACAGGTCTAACGTAGCTAAGGCTATCGTCAAACAGTATATAGCTGAGGCTGGTCTTGAACTCCTGATCCTCTTGCTTCAGCCTTCCATGTATGCCCCCGCCCCTTGCCTCCCATCTTGGTTCTCCTTGACACATTTGCCAATCCAAGAACCATGGCAGAGACTGCCAGGAAGGAGGCCGCAAGCTGTGAGTCAGATTCAACCGCGATGGGACTTTTCTGAGCAGGTGAATGTCTCGTGGAAACAGAATAGGGAAAGAGCTGGATACAGATGGGGCGCTGCCATTTTGTCAGTTAGCATAGGAACCTGCACATTTGTTTGTTATTTTTTGTGTTTTTACTCCCACCCTCCATCCCCTACACCAGCCTCTTTGTATTTATGTGCAACTGGTTTGGAGTCCAAGTTATTCTGTCTGTCTGCTCTGGATTGGGGTTTGTGAGAAGCATCTCCATTGGGGCCCCAGAGGTAGCCTGATTTCCAGGACCAGATGTCCTGCAATAAAAACACATCACCTATTCTTGGTCTCATCCTTCTTTGTCTGGATGTCTCTTTGCAGGCCAGCCCTTCCCCTGCTCTCTCTAGTTTGTGGGAATCTCCTCCAGATGAGAGGTAAAACACATCAAGGGGTTTAGACACAATGACCCAATAAGGCAACCTAAAGGAGAAAATGTTTATTTCAGCTCGTGGTTTGAGAATTCAATCCACTGTGGCAGAGAAGCCATGGCGAGCAAGAGCAGCTGTGGCAGCCATGGCAGGAGTATGAGGCTGCTTGCTCACGTCTCCATGGACCAGGAGCAGAGGTGGGACAGGAAGTCAAGCTGCACTATCAATGTCAAGGCTGGGTCTCTAGAGATCTGCTTCCTCTAGCTTGGTCCCAACTCCAAAAGGTTCCACAGTCTCCCAAGACAGTGCCACCAGCTGAGGACTAAGTGTTCAGATAAGAGAGCCTGTGAGGGACATTTTACAATTCTGGAGACATCAGCAGCAAGACCAGATGTTCTGGACCCAAGCCCTTCTTTAGGCAGAGGAATATTTTATTGGTTGTTTTCACTCTTTACCCTTTTTGAGCGGGGGGTCCTGCCACCCAGTTCCCAAATAAGTCACACACAGAGCCTGATTCTTTCTTATAAATGCCAGACCTTAGCTTGGCTTATTTATTTCCCATCTAGGCCTAGGTAATCTATTGAGCCCTGGGCAGCAGATCAGTACCCATCCCAAGTATACACACGGACTTTAGACTCCCATCCAACAATGTGGGGTGCACTCTCACCCTGAACTCTTGGGGAAGGGTCTAGGCCCTGCCCTATATGAAATGACAGACTATGGACACCCCCATGGAGTGCCTCACCCTCCCTGGGGAAATGAGGGGATAATGGGGGGGTGGGGGGAGGGCACGGGAGGAGGGGAGGGAAAGGGAGAGGGACCTGGAACTGACTTGTGAAGCAACCTTGTTTCTTATCTAAATTTAAACTGAAAAAAAAAATTATCCCATCTACCTTTTGCCACTGGGCTTTCACCTTTCTCTGTTTCTGTATAACTTTCTTTCTTATGTGGCTTGCTGTGTAGCTGGGTGGCTGGCCTCTGGAGTCCTCCTCCTCCTCTCGATCCTAGATCTCCCTCCTTTTTTTCTTTTTCTGCTTATATTTATTATCTCTGCCTGCCAGCCCTGTCTATCCTTTCCCCTGCCTTGCTATTGGATGTTCAGCTCTTTATTAGCCCAATCAGGTGTTTTAGACAGGCAAGGTGACATAGCTTCACAGAGTTAGACAAGCTTAACATAAGAGAATGCAATGCATCTTTGCATCATTGAAAGAAATGTTCCACAGCACAAACAAATGTAACATGTCTTAAAATAATATTCCACAGCAACTCCTGCATCAACCATCACTGTCCACAGGCAAACCAATAATAGATTTGCTACAAGGAAGTGACTCACGCAACCATGGAAGCTGGCAAACCTAGAATTTTTAGAGTGCATGCCAGCAGACTGAAGATGCAGATACAGGAAGTGAAGTCTAAACTTTGCAGGGTGGCCCAACAAACCAGGAACTTGGGCAATTTCTTTATTGCAGTCTGGAGGCAAAATTTCTTTTCTGGGAAACTTTTATCTTTGCTCTTAAGGCCTTTACCTGATTGGAAGGGAACCACTCACCTGCTGTTCTTTAAGTCACACATCTAAGAAACAATCACATCTGGAAAAAAATCTTCACAGCAACACCTACACTAGTCTTTTTCATCAAATAACAGTACCATAGCTTCACAGGTTGAGCCCACATAATTAAACATGTTTGGTCACTGTTGGGAGACAAATAGGCCAGCCCCTTCCAAACCGTCTTCTTACCTACTAATAGGGCATGGTGACAGCACTTGCCTATTGGGGGCTCATGATCAACAATATAATGAACATCAAGGTAGTATCTCGAAATAAGAGGTAGTTATTATACAACTCCTCAAACATAAGACAATTTATTATAACGATAAAGGTGTTTTGTTTGCAATAATAGCAGACTATGTTGCCCAGGCTGGTCTTGAACACCTGGGTTCAACTAACCTTCCCATCTTGGCCTCCCAAGTAGCAAAGACAGATGCAAGAGGACACTGCCTGGCTAAGACACTTTCCAAAGGCTGGGAATGGAGCTAGGTCACAGGGCCAAGTACTGGGTGGCAGAGTACTTGGCTAGCATGCACAGAGATCTGGTTGTATAGCCCCTAGCAACACAGAAGGTGGAAAAGGCAGAGAGAGAAAGAAGGAAGGAAAAACAAGGGGCCGAGGAGATGGCTAAGTGGGTAGGGTGCTTACCATACAAGGGTGAAAACCCGAGGTCAGAATACATCCTTATGTGCCAGATACAGTAGCATACGTCTGCAATCTCGGCACTTATACAGCAAGATGGGAGTTGGAGAGATGAGACTCTCCAGATGTTCTGGCCTGGCATGTGCAGCAGCAAATAACCAGAGACCTAGTCTCAAGCAAGGACCAATACTGAAGGTTCCCTCTGACCTCCACATATGCCATGGCATAGGTCAGCCTGGTCTACAAAGTGAGGTCCAGGACAGCCTCCAAAGCTACAGAGAAACCCTGTCTCAAAAAAAAAAATCAGACATGGGTATTTTTTTTTTTTTTTGGTTTTTCGAGACAGGGTTTCTCTGCATTGTTTTGGAGGCTGTCCTGGAACTAGCTCTGTAGACCAGGCTGGCCTCAAACTCACAGAGATCCACCTACCTCTGCCTCCCAAGTGCTGGGATTAAAGGCGTGTGCCACCAACGCCCGGCTTCAGACATGGGTATTCTGTTTAAGACTTTGTTGTCATACCAGATCATGACTAGAAAAGTTTAAAAGGTGGAGATGGTCAGGCATAGTCTCTCTCTCTCTCTCTCTCTCTCTCTCTCTCTCTCTCTCTCTCTCTCTCTCACACACACACACACACACACACACACACACACCCTTAATCCCAGCAGACAGACTCATCTCTGGTATGATGCTGGCATAGTCTACATAAGGGGTGCCAGAGCTGCCTAGCAGGATCCTGTCTGTTAATGAAAACAACCACCACAAAGCACAGAGAAGGCCTTCAAGGCTCTCCCAGGGTTCCTGTCTTGATGAACACAGCAGCTCAAACCTGAACAGGCTGCAGAATGGTCTGGATTCTTCTCTCATTGAGATGGGGCACAGAATCAGCAGGTTTAGTCGGCTTCCTCATAATACAGATGTGAGAATTCTTCAGAGATGCAAGGAAAGCTTAAATGTGCAAGGCCTGGCTCCTGAACTCAGAGGAGAATCCCCATATAGGCCCTATGAGTTCTCAGCTTCTGTTGTACTAGGTATGGTAGTACACACCTTCAATCCTAGCCCTAAGGAGGCTGATGAATGGAGATCTCAAGAAACAAACCATAAAACCAATCTTGCTTCTAAACAGTGTTTCTTTGAGCTGAGTTGTGTGAAGAGTGGAGAAAGCCAGACTTCTTTCCCAGAGAGAACCGCTTCCTTCTGGGCTCATATTATAAATGCCTGGTCCCTGACTGCAAAGCTGTTTGGCCTCTCTCATCCAAACTGTTCACACTTCATCCCTGTGAGATGGGTTCCTTGACCATCGTACCAGCAAATTGCAGCCAGGGTCACATTGGGAACCAAGATAACATTTAGTAATTATAAAGAAATATAATTTGTTCCTGTAATTGGGGGTATCTGCTCTTGGTACCCAATGGGTAGAGATTGGAGGTGCTGCTGAACATACTACATTAGAGGACACCCCCACCCAAGGCAAAGGATGAACCAACTGCAAATGACCATATTCTGGAGTTGAGAAGCCCGCTTGAGGTCTTAAGTTGCAAATAGAACTCTGCAGTGGCCTTGGGCATTCTCATTACTCCTGTATTTGCTTGAACCCACCTAACATGCACTTGCCTACTTGGTGTAACACTGGTACCCTAAGCCAAAGTTTTGAAACTTTTCCACTTGCTGATCCCAAGCCCTTTTCACCCAAGAAATTTTTTTATGACGCAGGTATATAGGGGTGTGGGCGTTCCTTCCCCAAAAGGCAGCACCTGGAAAACCTTTCCCAGCAGAGATAAAAGCTTCCCCACAGTCTCAAAGATGGACTTTCCCTTTCCCCAGTCTTCCAGGACCTAGAGCCCCTAGTCCCTCCTGCTGCAACAGACAGAAATAGACTGTGTTCCGAGGGTCCTATGGCCCTCCCTACTCCCTCCATGAGGGGCTGTAAAAGGTCAACAAGCTCAGTTGGGATAGTCCCTTTGCAAGTGGACACAGCTGAACTCCCCAAGATTGCAGTTGCTTGGCTCAGAGAATAGTCATGCACGCACAACAGTGCCCTTGTGTATATGTGTATATCTGTGTGTTAGGTATGTGTGTGGTATTTGTGTACACGCATGTCACGGGAAGATATGGGTGTTCTGCTCCATCACTCTGTCTTATTTCCTCGAACCAGGATCTCTCACTGAACCTGGAGTAAGCTGGAGGCCATGACGTCCCAAAGATGGTCTTTCCTCCCCACAGAGCTGGGGTCATAGGTATAAGCACAGCTACGCCTGGCTTTTTACCCAGGTGCTAAAGATTTGAACTCAAGTCTTCATGCTTGCGGAACACTTACCTACCCTCTGAACCATCTCTAGCCCTGAACTGTGCCTTTAAGGAAGCCTGTAAATAACACAGTGGCAGATGGTACAAGGTGTCTGCAGAAGTGTGTCACCATGTTCCACCTGTAGCCACTCCCAAGAATGGGTAGCATTGCACTCCAGATTTAACACACACACACACACACACACACACACACACACACACACACACACACTGCACTGCACGCACGCACACATGTGCACGCCATGGTAGAAGCCTGTGCAGCAGTTCCCGGATGTTTTTTCACTCCCATTCAGGAAAGGGCTGCCCTAAGAGACTGGTAAACAGAAACAAAGACACTCTGGAGCCAGCACTGGCAGTTCATGAAGCACTTTTTATTGGTGGGTTGTAGCCCCTAGAGCCCAGCCTGGTGGCTCAAGCCAGCCTCTTGCTTACACGCTCATAGGTCACACCGTCAATGGTGGAGATCTGAAAGAAGCAACCAGAAGAGAGGAAGTCAGTGCTGCTCCCCCAGAGGTGCTCACAGGGTGCAGAGGAAGCAAGGCCAGCCATTGCTGGGTGGATGCAAGACAGGCTCACTGCTTTCTGGGTCTTAGATTCCCTGTCGGTTACACCAGAGAAAATGGGGTAAAATGCTGAGCAGCAGCAAGAGTGATGGGCTGTGGGTATTTTCACTCCTAGTCTATCACGGCTCCTTTGGACTATTGTAAGCCAGGCCCCTGTTCACATTATTCCACCTATAATTCCATAGAGCCCCAGGAGGTTGTTCCCATTATACAGAGGAGCAAACTGAGGGTTGGGTCAGCCTGTGATGATTAAGTCTTGTGAACATGAAGCTTCAGGTAGGTCTCCTGCCCTCAGCTCTCCCTGCACACCTCAGGCCTGGGAACTCTGCTTTGGAAGTCAGGTCTCCACTGGCTGACATTTCATTCAAAGCTCTCATCAGATCTTCCAATGGGCCAGTGTTCACCCAGAGCAGAAGAGACTTTTATTCTCTTCATGTGTGTGGGCACCTGTGCCACAGTGTGCGTGTCGGGGTCAGAAGACAACGTGCAGGAGTCAGTTCTCTCCTTTCATCATGTGGGTCCCAGGAATCGAACACAGATCCTCAGACTTGGTAGCAACCACTTTTATCCTGTGGCCCACCTTTGGCTTTTTTTGTTGTTGTTGTTTGTTTCAACACTACTATATCTACTTTCTAATACTTATTATATTGTTACTGTATCAATTCAATAGTATTGATTTTGGCAGTAGTAAGGGTTGAACCTAGAACCTCATGCAGGTAGGCATGCAGTTTCCACTAAAATATATCCCCTGTAGAGTGCAGCCTGTGTGTGTGTGTGTGTGTGTGTGTGTGTGTGTGTGTGTGTGTGTGATCTGAGGGATTAGAGTCTCACTCTAGTCCAGGCTGACCTGGAATTCAAAATTCAAGATCCTCCTGCTTCGGCCTCCAGAATGTAGAGATCCCAAGCATTTGCCACCATGATCTGATGTATTTTAAGTGTATGAGAAAGAAACATGGCAGGGTGGCAGAGAATCACTGGTCTTTGAGAAAAGGCTGACAACTTTCTCTAGAAATCAGCTGACGTGGTCTGCCTCCAAAATGTACTGGCTGTGTGACCTCAGGCAGGTCACATGCGTCTCTAAGACTCATAAAGCATTTTTTAAAAACAGAAATAATACAAGACTGGAGAGATGACTCAGCTGTTGGGAGCACTGACTGCTCTTCCAGAGGACCCAGGTTGAATTCCCAGCATCCACATGGCAATTAGCAAATGTCGGTAACTCCGAGATCTGACATTTGCACACGGACATGAAATCAGGCAAAACACCAATGCACATAAAATAAAAATAAATAAATTTTAAAATAGAAATAATAGGAATCTCTGCGAACTCACCTCCACCAACTTGTCATCCACAATCTCACAGGTCTGGTGATAGTTGGGGAAGGTTGCCACCACCTTCCCATCCTCCATCTTCACAACAGCCTAGGAGAAAGACAGAGCATTGAGCACAAAACCTCTATCTACAGCCTACCAAGTCTTTAAGCATCACTTAGATTATTTTAAAAATAGCATGTAGGCTGGGTGGTGGTGGCACACATCTTTAATCCCAGCACTTGGGAGGCAGATCCCAAGGGCCCACTGGCAAGCCAGTCTTACAGAAACAAAAAGGATCTCAAAGAGAGATTCTACCTCAAAAGGTAAGGTGGAGAGTGTTAAAGAGCATACAACCCTGATATCAACCTCTGGTTTTCACATACACATACACAGTGAGTATACATACACATGTGCATACACAATAGATGATAGATAGATAATTATAGAGATGATAGATAGATAGATGATAGAAATGATTGATAGATTGATTAATAGATTGATTAATAGATTAGCGTATAGATTAATAGATGATAGATAGATTAGACAGACAGACAGATAGACCAACTATTAGTAAGTATCTGAAGTGAGTGATGTTAAATACTCAGCAAATATAAGCTTTATTTTCCTTCCTTTTTTGGGGGGCCGCTTCTCTATGTAACAACTCTGGCTGTCCTTGAACTTGCTTTGTAGCCCTGGCTGGCCTTGAACTCCCAGAAATCCACCTGCCTCTGCCTCCTAAGTACTGGAATTAAATGAATGTGCCACTACAGTCCATCCAGGACTTTTTTTTTCTTTTTGAAAAGAAGTCTCATTATGTAACTTTGGCTGACTCAGAACTCACAGAGATAGCCTGCTTCTGCCTCCTAAGTGCTGTAACTAGCTTGCACCATGCTCAGAAAATTAAACTATTTTTGTTTGTTTGTTTGTTTGCTTTCTTGAGACATTATTTCTCTATGCAGTTCTCAGTGTCTTGGTACTCACTTTGTAGACCATGCAGGCCTAGAACCCACAGAGAACCTCCTACTCTGCTTCCCAAGTGCTGGAATTAATGACGAGCACCACCCACCCAGCACATTAGCTGTTTGTATCTCAGTGTTGTGTTCCTTGCTAATGGCAGTCATTACCCAGCATTAAAAACATCAAGAAAGAAAACTTTTCATACTGAAGGCTAAACTATAGAAAGAAGCCTTGGCCTGGGAAGCAGAGGGGCCATATCTTTTCCTAAAAGGCAGCTAGGGGCCTCTCACCTTGAACTTCTTGCCCCCCAAGGTCTGAATTTCAGATTCTTTGCCAATGGTGAACTTGTTGGTCATAATGCTGCCTCCAGAGTAAGACTGGGACCAGGTGAAGTCCTGTCCATCCTGCTGGACCTCTGTGATGATCTTGAAGTTGCGTCCTTTTTCAATCACCTCTCCTGGAAGACCTGGGCCCAGTGACAAGCAGAGAGTCCACATAAGATCTACTTATAACCCTATGATTTGAGGAGTGAGATTTCTTCCCCAGAGGCAGGCAAGCCTGCAGGTCTAATATAGTGTCTGAGACATAGATAGCACATGGTTAAAATCCCAGCTCTGCCATAAGACCTGTGGCTTGAGCAGGACACTGCCCCACTGATTTCATTTACAAAATGGTGACAGTAAGGTCTGACTCAGAGCTGTTGTGAGAATTAAATTCAATGTGGTTGTGTCTCTCACAGCTCCTCACAACTACTTGGTGTGGGGCTCAGTAGTTAAGAGCACTTGTTCTGCAGAGGACCCGGGTTCAATTCTCAGCACCCACATGACTGCTCACGCCATCTGTAGCACAGACATATATAGGAGCAAAACACTCATATACATAAAACAAATCTCGTTTTTTTAAATCATAATAATAGCAAATTTTCCTACAGTGATATACCAATATAGCAGAAAGTTCTGGAATGGATGCAACCTTCACAATTCAGCCTTCTAATACTTCTATTCTACAGATGAGAAAATGGAGACCTAGAGCTGGAAAGAGAACACAGCTCTTGCAGAGGATCAGGGTTTAGTTCCCAGCATACACATGTCAATTTGCAAACATCTGAAACTCCAGTTACAGCAAGGAATCTGATGCCCTCTTCTGACCTCTGGGGACCAGGCAGTTGCATATATACAGGCAAAACTCCAATACATATAAAATAATAAAAATAAATTTCAACACACACCCACAAACACACACACATACTCCAAAGAAATGAAGACCCAAAAGGGAAAAGAGCTTGTCCACAAGGCCTGGGGACAAGGCTCTGCTCTCAGCCTCTCTGAAATAACAGATGTGACCACAAGAGGAAGGTCCACAGTTCTCATGGAGCTTTACTTCTTTTTGGTAGAATCTCAAGCACCCTGGGCCAGGATGGCCATGAGCTTCTGACCTTCGTTCCTCTGTCTCTGGAGTGCTGGGATTATAGGCATTCATGACAATGCCTGAATTATGCAGTGCTGATGATGGAACCAGGGCCTCATGCATGGTAGGCAAACCCTCTGCCAACTGAGTCACATCTTTCATCTGGCCCTTGACAATTATATGGCCTCCAGGCTAGTACACTGAAATTTGATAGGATTGTCAGATCTACTTTCTCTTTGACACTTTGCAACTAACCAGTGTCAAAGGTCAACTCACAACAGACCATTGTCAAAGGGCAAGCAGGAAAAAAAAAAGCAAAAAGCAAAAGACAGTGTAAGGGAGGTAAAATAACCAGTCACTTTAGTTGAAATGGCACAGTAAGGGAAGAAAGTTTGTTGGCTATGAGGATTTTCTTGTCATACCTGGTTTCTATATTACCTCCCTGGTCATCTCTCCCTGGCAAGATATAGTACCAGCATTCAAAACAGGGTCCTAGGTAGTGATGATCTCTGTCCCTGACTTAGGTAAATAGTGCTGAGGTGTCTCATTAAGAATATTGGGACAGCCTTTGCATGTAGCAGATTTTCAATAAATTTGAGTAGGACTAGGAATATGGCTCAGTTGACACAATGCTTGCCTAGCATGCATGAAGCCCCAGGTTTGGTCCCCAGCACTGTATAAAATAGGTATGCACATGCCTATAATCCCAGCACTCAGAAAGAGAGGCAGAAGGATCAGAATGTCAGAGAATCCGCAGTTACATAGTTATTTTGAGGCCAGCTTGCTCTATATGAGGACCTACCTCTCTAATAACAATAACAAACATTTAAATGACTAAAGATCAGATCTCTGCTTCACCATTCCAATGTGATTTGGAATATTAAAGTGACTTGTTTGAGCCTCAAGCTCAAACTGGAGACATGAAGATACTAGAAATACTAAGATTCTAAGTCTTTTAAAATCAAAAGATGTTGGGCTGGAAAGATAGCTCAGATGTTAAGAGAACTGGCTGTTCTTCCAGAGGTCCTGAGTTCAATTCCTAGCACCCACATGGTGACCTACCATCATCTATAATGGGATCTGATGCATTCTTCTGTCATGCAGACATGCATGCAGACAGAATGATGGATGGATGCATGGATGCATGGATGCATGGATGGATGATGGATGATGGAATTTTGTCCCACTCTACCCCAAGGGTTTGGATTCCTATCCCAGAGCTGGTTGTAAACAGCAAGCCCCAGGGAAGGGACACGAAGAAATTCACTCACCCAGGCGCTTCATGAACTCATCATAGTTCTTCTCACTCTCAATTTCGAATTTTCCACTGAAGGCCATAATGCTGGGAGAGAGCTGGCAGCAGAGAGCAGCAAGCTGAGGAAAAAGGTTGGTACTGAGCAGACTGGCGTCCCGGTTTATAAACACTCCCAACTGCTAAGGCTCAGCACCAAAGTCACCCCACTCCTTGGTCCCGCCCCTAATCAGAAGGTGTTTGATGTTTTATGATATGGGCAGGACACTGAGGGGCATGACCCCAAGGTTATTGACCCAGGAAAAGCTACCTGCAATCCCACTATGTCTCAGAAAGGTCAGGGCCAGGACTGCCATAGAGTGTGGTCATTCACCTCTCTGCTCATCACACCATCCATTCATCCCTGCCATGCCTTTTCCCCATGCTCTCCTCATCCTTCATTCACCAAGCACTGTGCATTGAACTGTATGTGGCAACCCAGAAGCATGAGGGATGCTTCCTTCCCAGGGAGCACCCAGGCCAACCCAGACCCAAGGCACGTATGTGCAGTGTGTAAGCTAGACGTATTCTGCGCCACTTTACACATGGAGACCCCAGTCTCTGGGTTGACAGCTGCCTGCTTTGTTTTATTGGGTGGCTCCTTGGCCACACAAAAATAGCAATGCAAAGTATCTACAAAGGCCCTCATCAGCATCTTCATCATTACTACTCTAAATTACAAAGTTTTGGCCGGCCATCGCAGCTCACACCCATAGCCCTAGTACTTGGGAGGCTGAGGTAGGAGGATTGCCATAAAGCCAAGGACAGCATAGGCTACACAGCAAGGTCCCATTTCAGAAGCAATCCAAAAGCAAACAAATAAAAATTCTCCTTCTCTGGGGTCTCCTCTCTGCAAACTCCCATCATTTCTGCTCAACACAGAATTGACCACAGCTGCTGATTCCCAAGCCTGTGACTAGGTGGTTTCTCTTTCTTTCTGTCTCTCTGTCTTCCCCACCCCTCTCTCTCTGTTGAGTGTGTATGCTCACATGTGCCGTGTGTGTGTGTGTGTGTGTGTGTGTGTGTGTGTGTGTGTGTGTCTGTAGGTCAGTGGGCAACTTTCAGAAATGGGTCTCTGTCTCCACCATGCGGGACCCAGAGACTGATTTCAGGTCAAGCCCAGCAGCAAGAGCCTTTCTCTGATGAGCTATCTCACTGACCCTCAGTACTTTCTAAACTGATGAAATGTCAGCTTTGCCACACTTTTTCAGTCTTCAGTCCTATAATTCATTATCCCAATAATGAGTTTTTCCTTTCTTTCCTTCCTTCCTTCCTTCTTTCCTTCTTTCCTTCCCTCCTTCCTTCTTTCCTTCCTCTCCTTCCTTCTCTCTCTTCATTCCTCCCTCCCTTTCTCCTTCCTTCCTTTCTTTCTTCCTTCCTTCCTTCCTTTCTTTCTTTCTTTCTTTTTGAGACAGAGTCTCAAGTAGCCTAGACAAGACTCAAATTCCCTATGCGGTCTAGGAAAACCTTAAGCTCATGACCCTCCAGCCTTACCCTCCCAAAAGATGCAACTACAGGCACACACCATGTTTATTGTTTATATCATTTTAATTGCTCAGTGGTAGAGAGCTTGCCTTGCATGGACATGGTCTTGGGGTCTATCCACAGCGTCTCAATCAATCAATCACATTCTAGTCTATGTATAATTTACTTTCATTCTGGATGTTTGTTTCCAACCCTTTTCTATCATAATTAAGTAATTATTGCTCATACCTTTGGGTGCATATATATCAGATAACGAAGTAGGACTATCTGTTAAGGATGGATTCCTAAGTAAGAAAGGGGCCATGTGACTGGGGAATAAAAAGGTTCCAAGGGAGATGGTAAGGAAGACAATGGGGCAACATGGAAGGGACAAATACTGGGATTAAAGGGTACAGTGGAGAAGAGGGCAAGGGGGATGGGGTGACAGTTGGGGGGAAGGTAGGGAAAAAAAACCAAGCTGAGGTACATGTGAAAGCTCCATATGTTGTACAAGGCCCTTATTGTTTTATACAACAAATAAAAAAAATAAAGGGATGGATTATAAGCATAGCATTCCTGAAACAAATGGAACTGAGACAATGTGTCACTATGTACATTAGACTGGTCTTGAACTCAGAGATTTGCCTATCTCTGACTCCCAGGTCTGGGACTAAAGGTATCTGCTACCACACTACACATAAAGGGTTTTATATTTATAATATATCTAGAATGGCATGATGGTGTATGCCTGTAATCTTAGTACTTGGGAGACTGAGGCAGGAGGATTATCCAGAATTCCAGAACAGCTGATGCTACAGAGTGAGACACTGTTTTAGAAAAAATAATAATTGATTAATTTAAGAAATAACCAAATAGGGCCAGCAAGATGGCTCATTGGGTTAAGGCACTTGCCACCAATCCTGATGGACCTGATGGTCCCAGGACCCACATGACAGGAAGAGAGAACTAACTCCAGCAAAGTTGCCTTTTGGCACACATGTGCTGTGGCATGTGTGTTTGCATGCACACACACACACACACACACACACACACACAAATAAGTAAGTACAAAGTAATAATTTTTAAAGAAATAATATAGTATTTATAGCTACCACTGCCATTCAGAAAGGTTAGAGTGGTTTATATTCTCTCCCACAGCCATGTGAGAATTTCCCCCAGGATAATAATAATGGCAGAATAACAGTGACAGTAATGGCTAAGAGGTATTGGGCATTTTATGGCTGATCTCATTCATTGATTCTTCCAAACAAGTGTGTGAAGTTGCAAACTGGAGTTCATAGCAGTGGGGCCAGAAGATGGGTGCGAAGCTGCCAGGACGGGCCTGGGACTCTACAGCCCCCACTTAGCTCCCTTCCCACCAACTTCTCCCAAATGGGCAGAATCGGTTTCTTCCAAACTGCTGCTCAGCACAGCCACCGAGGACAGGATGGGAGTGGTGAGGTGTAGAAAGGACAACATTGGCATCCAGATGCCTGACTCAGCTGCACCCTCTTCCCATGGTGCATCTGACCCGCCACCCTCCATCCACCCACACCCATATCTTTTCCTCTTATTCTGGGGTTCATCTGCTTGAACATTCAGCCTCCTGGGAAGGGTAAATGAACTCCAACCGCAAGTTTTATGGGGCCATTGAACCAGTGGTGCAAATATACCCCAGTGGAGATAAGAGTGAGTCTAAGGTTACTTTTGGCAACCCCAACTTCCCACCTGACTCTGGCTGTGCCTCAAGCAGCCACCACTACCCTGAGGAGAATTTGCAGAATAAGGAGTGGGGATCTGGGTACTTGGGTCCCTGATCAAAGAGGAACTCTGGGCTTCCTTCCACTCTCCTTACCCAGATCCTCACATGGACTTGTAAACTGCATTCGTCCATTAATTCACTCTATTTCCTGAGCCCTGGGTTATGAGTGAGCAGTGACTCAGCAGATAGCTCTAGCTTGGCAGCTTATCCCCTCCCACCCTTTTAGCCCCTAACCTTTAGCTTACTTACTTTCCTATCAGGCCCTGGAACAAACCACTTCCTCCCTTAAGATTCTCCTTTTTTCTTTCGGGAAAGGGATGGGGGGATGACCTTCTGTAGTCTAGGCTAGCCTTAATCTAATTATGTAGCTGAAGATGATGTTGAGCTTCTGCTTCTGTCTCCACCCCTCCTATGCTGGGCTTGTGAGCATGAGCCCTAACACTCAAACTGGTGTCGGGAAACGGGATTGAACTCAGGACTCATGCACACTATGCAATAAGCACTCTCCCAGGTGACTTACATCCCCAGCTCCAGAAGCTCAGCAGGGCTTTGAAAAGCTCAGCTGTCATTCCTTTTAACAGAGTTAACCCCACTCTCCTTGCTCATAACAACTGATGTGGAGTAAACTTCATCTTCCTACCAGCCCTCCAACCACATTCCCACCAGCTGGGGACACCCAGATCAACTATCTAGAGACTTAGTCTGAGGCCCAGGATAGCCTGTAAATAACTATGTAGCCCAGTATTATGGTTTGAGTCTAGAATGTCCCCGACAGACTTACTTTTTATAATGTTTTTATTTATTCTTTGAGAATTTCATATAATATATTTTGAGCATACTCTTTCCCTCTCCCAAATGCTCCCAGACCCTCCTCTACTTCCCTGCTCACCCAAATTCATGTCCTTTCTCTCTCTTAAAGCAAAACAAACACACACCACCAACAACAAAGTCATGGAGTCCAGTTTGTGTTACTAACTGCTCCTGGGCACAGAGTCTGCCCTGGAGTAAAGTCGATACACTCAATTTCACTCCATTGAAGAGAACAGATTTCCTCTCTCCTGGAAGCTATCAATTGCAAATAGCTTCTTGGTTAAGCGTGGGACTTGGTGCCCACTGCCCAACCTCTGTGCTTGGAATTTGTGTGGCTTGGTCTTATGCAGGGCCTTGGTTATGCTGTCACAGTCTCTGTGATTTCATATGTGTACCAGCCCTGTCGTGTCTGGAAAATACGTTTCTACCACCTATGGCTCTCTTGCATAGATCCCAGACAGGCTCACATTTGAAGTACACAGAGACCAGCTTGTGGCACGATTTTGAAGACTTTGGAATCCTAAGTGCATGGAATCAAGATGGAGGAAGTAAGCCACTGAGGAAAGGTCTTCAAAGGTTATGCTCACAACTGCTTCTGGCCTCTTTTTTTTCTGTGTGCTGGTTTGCTCCCTGTGAGCAGCCGTAGTTACAAACTCCTGTCACAGCAGAATGAGCCTCTCCCGTCTCCATGCTCTTTCCACTATGAGGGACTGATGCCCTCTGAAACCATGAAACAAAATAACTATTCTAAGTTATTTATTTCTCTCGTGTATTTCATCACATTGATCAGAAAAATAACTAATACACCTAGGCTGGATTCAAACTCATGGTCCTCCTGCCTCAGTCTTCCCCGTGCTGGGATTACAAACATGTACTACCACACCTGGTGTTTTGTTGCTGCTGTTGTTTATTTTGAGAAAGGATCTCACTATGTAGTTCAGGTTGGCTTTGAACTCAAAACACTCATGTTGCCTCAGCACCCTGGGTACTAAGATTACAGGAGTACATCACCGCACCAAGACACTGGTTATTTTGTTTTGTTTCACA